AAATATAAAATGTCCCTTCAATTTTTTTTATTCGAAATTGAACATAAAAAGGCAAGCTATACTACAATTGTCTTATAAATAAGCTTATTATAATACTTTTGCCATAAATACTTTGAAAAAACTTGTATTATATCAGGGAAAATGACATAGCAGTGTTTATTATTATTTATTATATTAATTTCATATTTATATTATTATTGTTTGCGAAATGTCGTTATCGCGCCGCCGTCGACATACGGCTATTTGATCCTCTTTTAATTTCTTTGCTTTCCCCTATCGTGTTACACTATCGTTTTTATTTTTCATTAATTAACCTGTACTAGTACCACTTGTTGTGATATCGTATGTTGTTCTTTTTTTCTCGCCATTAGGTACGGCAATTTTGGTAATGTCACTCGTTACATTCTTGGTTGCTCGGCGCTAAAGTGGCCCGAGCTTCCGTCATTATTAAGCAAATATATTTCACTAAATTAAACCACCGTATAAACTTGTGTTACTTCATTCCTATTCTCCGTGCAAGTACTTACTCGTGATCCGGAGCTTGCGGTGGAGAGTTGCGTCGTTCAAACCGTGGAGATTCCCGGTCATTAGTCGAATCCTGAATTGAATAAATCCACTTTCTATTAGCAATTCTCTCGTCCACCCTTAGAGTAAGTCCGCAAGCACGCGCAGGGGGGTGTGTGAGAGCCCGCCCAAGGTCGTCGAGATGTCAACAACGGCAACAACCTCAGCTTCAGTAGTTTATAAGTTACTTTTAAGAACCTCTCACAATTTTGTAAATGCTCTGTGATCGGTCAGGTACTCAGGTATGACGCAATGACCACAGAGCATTCCCGTCCCCTATAACTAACTTGTACCTTCCTCGTTCCCGCTGGCAAATCTCCCTTTCCTATTAGCCGTATGTTAGGTTGCCTATGAGTGGAATTTCAGGGGGCAACATATGAAAAGTAATTTCTCAGGCGTTAGGTGACACACCGTAGGTGTCAGGTTGCCTATCGAACCTGATTTCAGGCGTAAAAATTAAAATTACCCAATTAACCATTTTGCTGTCGAGATATACTCGGCTGGTCCTTTGAAGCATTGTTCGTACAATTATATTAATTATGTTAAAATATATTTTTAAAGTGTTGTTATTTATAATAAAAAAAATTGATTAAACTATTAAATTCTAAAAATATTATTATTTATTTATATTGCTCAGTATACAATGGTTGCTTATACAAATATGGTGTATGTCATTTTACCCGACATTCCGTTTAAAATGACATAGTAGGTACATTTAAAAAAAAGTGAATTAAAATTATTTGTTTGTATTAAATTTACAATTATAGTTCAGAAATATGTGTATAATATAAATACAAATATGTTGCTCAAGTTTCATGTGTTAACTAACATTATTTCCTTCATTTTTTTTAAATTAAAAAGTGGTATGTGATATTAAGCCAGTCTCCCCTATGATTTATTATTTATTATTAATTATGATAATTATTGTTTTTTAAACAATATGAAATTTAATTTAATTTTGTGTTTTAATAATATATTGTAGGGGGACGGAGTGGCCGAGTGGTCTAAGGCGTCGGTTGCGACGCAGCTGGCGCTTGTTCGATTCCTTGGTCACGGGCGGCATTTTTCTTCGGACAAGTCACGATGTCCGGAGAACAAGTGCCACCATCCCCCACCCGGGCATGGCAGATACCTACGGGTGCCCAATCAAAAATTTTGCTAAATACAAACACCCAAGTGTAAAAACCCACCACTTCAAAACCCTACCACAATACAACCCTACTAACAGCTAATGGCCATAAGTGCCGGGCTTAAGGATCAAAAAAAAAATAAAAATATATTGTATAAACATAATAAACATAAACATGCGAATAAACATAATATTCATGTTGTTAGAAATGACAACACTGCTACGACCGCTCCCCCTCAACATGTATTTCCCCGTCAATGAGTATAAGCATAGAACAATAAGTATGAAATACCATATTATAATTTATACAATATCATCGAATATTAGAATCTTTCTGCTGACTGGCGACTGCCAACTGCCGATCACGCCGTTTATATCTGGAAACACTGTATTTCCATTTTTTTAACCGCGTCTCAGCATCTTTACACTGCGTCAAATACCTTAACTTAATGTATGGTTGATGTTAAGTATTCACTACTCATTAATCGCCTAAATGCCTAATGTAGCCATTTTTAACTACTGACTTGAATATTGGATGATATTAATCCTGCTGCCTTTTATAAAATGACGTCAACGATTCAATTTTATACCTTTTCGGGCGCTCTTGATGAATCGCCACCCTGTTATTTATTACAAATCGACGATTTTAAATTCTTGTTGGACTGTGGATGGGATGAACATTTTAGCATGGGTGTTGTAAATAAATTAAAAAGGTTGATTAAACCGTTTTTTTTTTTAAACGATGTACAAATGTAAACTTCAACATTTATAATGTAATGTCTGATTGTAGGTACATCCATCAAATAGATGCAGTTTTATTATCACACCCAGACCGTTTTCATCTTGGAATTTTGCCGTACCTTGTTGGAAAGTGCGGCTTAAACTGTCCTGTCTATGCTACTATACCTGTTTACCAAATGGGCCAAATGTTTATGTATGATTTACATGAAGTATGGTTTTTAAATTGATCTACTAATAATATTTTTCTTATGTATTGAAGATTTCAATAAAATCATAATTTTTTTTCTTTTAGTCTTTATGTAATGTGGAAGATTTTAATCTATTTAATTTAGATGATGTGGATGCTGCTTTCGATAAAGTTATACAAGTAAAATATAGTCAAACTGTTTCATTAAAAGGTATGTACATATAAAATGGTCTATTGGTATTTGTAGATCCATGTGTAAAAGAGCCAGGTTATTTGAATGTACAAGATGTTGCACAATTGATAGGCTACTACCAATCAATCAAACTGAAGAATGAAACTTCTCAAATTAGTTAATAATTCACGGATTCACTTAGTCCATATGTTACCTAATTAAAAGCATTTGATTACAATTTGGCATAGTTGTGTCAAGGTAATATAGGTGAACCTCTTAATTTTTTTTTTTATTACATACAGGAGAATGTCCATGTTTGGAATATGACTGTGTTAGAAATATCTGTTAATAATTTTTTTTTAAACCATTTTCATGTTAAGAATTTTTCATTACATAAGATAAGTTTCTTTTATTAAGCTAGTTATTTTTTATTAACTTTTATTTACTAAGTCTGTATGGTTTTGAACAGAATTTGGTATTATTTTCATTAGTTACCTTTATAGTTTTTTTTTTTGAAAGTGGTTGTAGATCATTTTAGGTAATTGTAAATTTGTGATTATTAAACTTGAGATTTAAATACAAGGTCATATTGCATTTCCTTGCGTTATTTCATTCATATTTAGGAATAGAGGATTAATCTTGAAATTTTTTAACATTACAATTGCATTTTTTGCATTTATTTAATTTTATACAATGTAATACTGTCAGTTTGGATGACGTCTTAATAGTATTTCCCAAAAAAATGTATTTTTTATTATATTGGTTAATAATGGGACTTTGCTATCAAAAATTTTACGATTAGAAACTTAATGATATCTAAAAGTCTAAATAACACAATTAATTAAAAATCAGTACAATGTGATGTTAGTGTATAAGACATAGATTGTAACTTTGTATCCTAGTCCAGTGCACAGCATCGTTTAAAATGGAGGAAAAATATTTTTAACTACGTTATTTTCTTTTGTGTATAAATGTCTTGAATATCAAATAACAGCTGTATTAAACAATTTATATCTGAATTAATCCTTTATTAATTCATGAATCATCAATTACTTTTGACGTTTTAACATTTTTATATTATATACGATGGTTTTTTTTTTAAAAAATAAAAACAATTTTAACTGCATATTTTGATAATTTTATTGAATAGTTTTAAGCATTTATAGTGCAATAAGTCCCAAACGCTAGTAACAAATATTTACTATATACATTTTTAAATTTTTAGCTATATATTAAATATATTTTAATATAATAATTATAAACTAATATTTAATTATTGGTATAATCTTATAATTTTTTATGTATAGTAAGCTTACTATTTAATATATTTGTGGAATTGACCGTAGACATTCTACGATTATTGGCCTTTTTAACTTTGATATTTCTACTACTAATTGATATCTAAATTTGATCATATAATATACTAAAAAGTGTTTAGGTATACAGCTGAATAAACTTTTTTTTTTTATTAAGAATACAAATATTTTCAATCTGTATAATTTCAAACAAAATTGTCACCAAAGTCTTTTGGAAAGATTTCTGATATCTTTTAAGTACAACTTATTAGTATTTGTGAATTCTAAATTATGTTTAATTTGTTAAATCAATTATATATATTTGGGATTCCGAGCATAAACTATAAATGTAGAGATTTATGATGATGTCTGTTTTTATTTAGTTTCTAATACATTTTTTCTAGTATAAAACATTCTCGGATCATCAACTTTGACAGAGGTTTCTGTAGAGAAAAACTAAAAATAAAAATAATGTTAAACTAATGTTATTATTAAAATAATTGTTGAGTAACCTTGGTTACCAAAAAGTTAGACCATCTCATTAGCTCAGAATCGTTTTTCATTGTAAAAAAATTTAACACATCCATAACAGAGCTACTTGAAGCCAACCATCTTCTACTATACAGCAGAGCAGTTACTTACTTTTTTTAATGATTTTCCTTTTATTATTTAGGTAAAGGAATGGTTTAAGAATAGTAGCATTGCCTGCTGGCCATATGGTTGGTGGTACAATTTGGAAAATATCTAAGGTCGGAGAAGAGGATATTGTCTATGCTGTAGATTTTTAATCTTACAAAGAAATACATTTGATGGTAGCGACTTAGAAAAACTCAGAAGACCATCATTACTAATATTGGATTGTTTTAATGGTTCTTATGCACAACCCGGCGTAAGATTTCGCAATGAAGCTTTATGAGTTGGTTCAATACTTATTCTGTCATAAGTCTATTAAAATAAAATATGTTTTTTTTCAGCTTGTTTATTGACAACACTTCGTGTCAAAGGCAATGTTTTAATAGCAGTTGATACAGCGGGACGTGTTTTAGAATTGATGAATATGCTGGACCAATTTTGGTGTAATAAGGAATCTGGTCTTGGTGTCTATTCATTAGTATTTTTAACAAATGTTAGTTACAACACTGTGGAATTCGCAAAGTCTCAAGTCAGTTTCTACTTGAATTATTTTTTTGTTTAATTTAATATAATTTTGAAAAATTAATTTTTAGATTGAGTGGATGAGTGATAAACTGGTAAAAAGTTTTGAAAAAGTTCAAGATAATCCATTTATTTTAAGCATTAAAACTATGTCATAACATGAATGACTTAAACAAAGTCTCTGAACCAAAAGTATTCATATTTGTTCATGTTACATTATACATTTAATAAAATTATAATAATATGTCCAACGACAAGAAATACGAGCTCATTATAGTACATGCACATAAACATACAGTATAGCTATTTTGTTTGCATTAAAAAGTCAGTTAGGTATAAAATACTTCTGAAAAATGATTTTACAAACTTTTATCTGAATGTAATGAAACAATAGCACTATGTGAATGAGTGAAAATATTAAACCTAATATTTTGTATCACATTATTTTCTAACCATTAGGTGTCCAAAATGATAGAAAAAATTATGACATGATTTGAAGATAAAACTTTGCATATTCAACCTGGTGTTATAAGTTTTTTGATTATAATCTTCTGAATTATAAAAAATCAATTTTTTCAACTAGGCATTGAAAACAAAACATTTATTATTTTTACAGCATTTGCATTGTACTTTGTTTTTAAACACTCCATATAAGTATACAATAGTCATATTGAAACAAGGTTATTAATTGATTTTATGAATTCAAAAAAGTATTTTTTTAATAATGGATACTAAATTATATTTTAAACACTAGATACTAGAATTTTGTCCTTGAATATTTTATCTGATATAAATATTTAATAAATTAAATTAATGTAATTTAATTCTTAAATAAGGTTGTATTAGCTAGCAATGGAGATCTTGAAAGTGGATTCTCAAGAGAAATTTTTATTATGTGGGCTTCAAATCCAAAAAATAGTATTATTCTTGCAGATAGGTATTTTATAAGTATACTACTTATGAATAACAATGTTAATTTTTTCATCATTATTATAGAACTGCTCCGGGTACATTAGCTCGAGACTTAATTGACGAGGGTGGTGATAGATACATAAAACTGATTGTCAAGAAACGTGTTCCTTTAGACGACAATGAGTTGGTTGAATATAATATCAAACAGAACACAAAAAAAATGGAAGATAGTAAAATGTAATTATTGAAAAAATTAGCAAATCATTACTATATTTGTATTATGCTTGTATTAGTATATAAAAGCTATACATTAAAGTATATGGAAAATTCACCAATGTTATTAGTGACCCAGAAAGTTCTGATTCTGAAGATGAACAAGAGGCTATGAGAGGAAAACATGACTTACTAGTAGATGATGATTTATCAAGCCTCAAAAAGTCTTCAAAAAAGTTTCCATATTATGAAGAAAAATTGAAATTTGGCCATTATGGCGAAATCATGAAGTATAATTATTAGATTTTTAATAAAAATTATAATTTAAATTTACCTATTTTTAATTTTAGACAAAAAGATTGTATTAAATTTGAAACAACCTCGGGAGATAAACAAAATAAAACAAGTGATGAAGATGAAGAAGTAGATTTATGTGATCTTCCATCCAAGTGTGTGGAGTTTGAACAGAATATTTATGTGGCAGCAAAAATTGTACAAATTGATTTCGAAGGTCGCTCCGACAGAGACTCTTTGAAACAAGTTGTACTTGCAATAAAACCTAAACATTTGATATTAATAAGGGGCAACCCATATAGCACTAAGGCTGTTTACAACTTTGCCAAAGTATTTTTAGATAGTAAAGTTTTTTCACCAAGAATTGGACAATGTTTGAACTTAACATCTGAATCTTATATTTACCAAGTAAAAAAAATTCTTTTTAATACAAAATGTCATTTTTTTCAATAAAATTAAATAGCATGATGATTTTAGGTACATTTAACAGATTCACTTCTTTCCACAGTTAATTTAAAAAAAGTACCAAATGGTGAATTAGCTTACATTAATGCCAAGTTAAAATTAAAAAGTTGTAATGATGATATTATGGACATTGACAATGTTGTGCCCAAAAAGAGTAAATATTTTATTTTTATTTTTTAAATAGACTGTTTAGTTCCTTTTTTTTTTTATTTGCTATTTGTAATTATAGTGCCAAAAATAGATGATCAAATGTTTACACTTGAACCTTTATCAGATCATGTAAGTTCTATATTCAACTGTTTTTATTCTTAAAATAATCATTGATGTATAGAATAATACATACATTTTGTTCGTAGGAAATTGGTCCTCGCAAGACACTGTTTATTAATCATTTAAAACTGTCGGATTTTAAACAAATTTTATGCAAAAATAATGTACCTTGTGAACTTTCAAAAGGTGTTTTATGGTGCTTTAATCGTACAGTTTGTGTTCGTATAGTGAGTATTATATTGTATTATGCATTGAGTCATGTTGTTCTTTAAAACATGTTAAAATTTTTTTTAAATATTATAGTAAAATTTTAATTTATCATATTTTAAATATATTGTTTCTTGATATCTGAAATTTTTCAAAATAATTATAAGATATGTTTCAATGGAAATACAAATGTTCACAATAGCATAAATATAACTCAAATAACAGAGAGGAAAATTAAGGTTGGTTTCACCTTAAATAATGATTTTATATTATTATATGAAAACATCAAGAGTAATATAACTCACTTTAAACTAAAATAGAAATAAAATCCTATATTCTTACATTTAAGTTTGATAATAAGTCAACTAATAATAATTATAATATGAAAGCAGATATAAAAAAATTGGTTGTGCTGAATGCAAATATACATTATAATTGTACATTTGTAGATGGAACAACACATTATGCGAGTTAACAACAATTTAAAACTTAGAATATAGTGGAATGGCAAAATAATTATTTCTTGGAAAGTTGGTTCAATAATGCTCTTGAGTTTTAATATAAATTAAATAAGTAATTTTTTCTCTCAAAATGTTTTAATTTAATAATTGTATTATTCACCTTGACATTAAATATTATGTAATTTGTATTTTTCTACTAAGAGATTAATAGGTAAATGTTAATTTATCTAAATATTTTTGTTCTTTTGTAGAATTCTTCTGGAAAAGTTTTGATGGAAGGAGTTATTAGTCGTCAATATTATCACATACGTAGTTTATTATACAGCCAGTTTGTTATAATTTAATATAACTACCAAATACATTTAATGTTGACCACATTATGGTTATGATAATTTATTTAAAAAAAACTATAATAGATATTATATTGTACCTCTTAATATAATTTATTTCTATTTTAATAATATTAAAATGTATTAAGTAATTATTTTTATAAATATCAATGATTACATCATAATTACACTTTTGAATGCTATTTATGATATTTTCAATAAATAGAATTTTTTTATTTTTTCTACTAATTGTGTAGTTTGATAATAATTGTACTTCATTTTTTCATAAAATACAACTTGAGATTTAATGAACCAATAGATAATAATGCTCTATATTGATAACTGTTTATAATTGAAATTATAATCGGTGTTTTAAAAGAATTATATAACTTTTATGTACATTATAATTTCTAAAAGATTAGCATAAAGCATAACTTGAAGAATTGATAAAATTAAAGTAGTGAGGATCAGCATTAATCGAATAATAGTAAAGATAACTTTGTCCACATATTCTTTGTAAATTCTAGAAAGGTATTAAATAAAACATTGTTTATCATAATATTAAGATGAGTAATATTATCGTATTTCAGTTCAACAATCTAAAATATATTTTGTTGATTTTTACTTCATTATTATTTATCACACAACAAATCACATTATCAATAACTACCAAATTTAATTGCTTATTTTAATTTATTTATTTTTGCTTAATCTTTTACAAAATATTCTATAATATATTGTGTATATAATTATATATTATATAATGGTTCATTTATTGGACATTTGAATTCATTGCAGAGTATTTCCGTCAATCACCATGACTTAATTATTAAGTTTAGATAGTATATTCAATTTTATATTAGTTTAATTTCTATTTTTTGTTGCTTGTATCATTTTATATTTCATCAATTGTTTAATTGAATACTGTTTTACCATGTATACCAGTTTTATAATTTTCATTAGTTACATTTATGAATGAGTATAAAATGCCTAAATTAAATTTTGATCTGTTTTTATAACTAATTATTTAAGAATTTAAATTAAATGTTACAATTTTTAATATAAGTATTACCACAAGAATATTATAATTAATATATTTAGGATTTGAGGTTTTTTTGAGATTACACATACTATATATTTTTGTTAATGGTTTGCTTAAAATTATATTATATTTTATAATATATATAAAATCGATATAATGAATTAAAAATGTTCAAAAATATTTTTATATAATTGGTTTGTAATTTATTAATTATACGATTTAATAGACAAATTTAATCAATGTGTAAGTAACAAATAATTTAAATAAAATTCTTAGTAATGATGACCTTGATTTCATTTGATTTAAAATAGTAATACAAATATGAAACTATAAACTTGTACGAATGTGAGACCATAAGTGTCGTCGGCTTTCGTCAATAAAAACATAATACACCACTAAAATTGGAAAATGAAGAAAGACGTCGATAGAATAAATAATAATAATAATAACAATAATGATAAAGGTCTAATGGGGAATTGTCACAACAATTTGTAGTAGACAGTTTTTCTACAAATATAGTAATGCATTCGAACAAACACGTCAATTAAATGATAAAATATTCATTTTAATTTACATAATAAATCAACTAAAATTTTTAAATATTCAATTATATTTATTAAATTATTGACATGTTTAAAATTTGCGAACATAATCTTGGTAAGGAAGGAGGGATTGAAAACCTTTTAATTAACAAGATTATATTATGTACTTCCTAGCTTATGAAGATAAATATGTAATATGAAATACAGTATTTTAATAAATCTATGAATACAACAATAATGTGAAATGAACAGTTTCTATTGTTTTATTTAAGCATTTTAATTTTTATGTTTCATTGCAATTTGTTTTATAACGCATAATAGCATAAATCAATATTAGTTTATCTCATTACTTTTATTTATAAACTTACAATAATTGAATAATATAATATACTATAATATAGTAGTAACATCACCATATATATATTGCAATAATCAATACTTTTAAAAATAGCATATTTATTTAAATTTTACATTGTATATAAATCAATTAAAACTCATGATAATAGTGGTAAACTTGTTGAATACATACATTTATTGTTTATGGTAGAGGTATTTAAACTGAGTAAAGCGGCTCCCAGGGATCGCGAAGAGAATCACATCAAAGCACCAGGAACCAATATTAATGCAGATCATATATTGCATAAATTATTAATATGGAGTATATCCATAAATAATTAATATAAATATTGTTTATAATAATTAAAGGGATTATGGAACCGATAATAAAACATATTACGCAACTATTTGAAGTTTTATTTGCAGTACAAAAGTCACCCATATTGTAATTGTATTGTTCCAATTTTTTCATAACAATTTGGGAGTCGTCAAAATATTGTGAATACACAAAGGAGCCGCAGGGTGAAAAAGTTTGAATATCTCTGGTCTATAGATTTTAAATCATCGAATTTTCTACGTTTTTAAATACAATATTTTGCACTATATTATGGTTAAAAATACCATGTTAGCTAGATAACAAGGCAAATATTTTTGTGACAAGATGTACAATTTGAATCAGTTTTATACCTATGAAATAGATGACGATTAAATTATAATGTCATAAGAATATAAAATATATAATAAATACATTTGAAGAAAATAAATTAAAAATGTTTCAAATATAATCAAGAATTTAATTAAACCCAATTGTTTTAAATGTCATTGACAATTCTCAATTATATATTTTAGCTAATTCAATTCAATTTTGATATAGTTTAGAATATTTTAATGTAGATATCATCAAGTCGAAGTTTTGATTCATCATGATTTGTACACCACAACATATGCAATGTATATTGTAAAATTAAAAATAAATAAAAGTAGATTAATATATGCAATTATTTTCTCAACAACACCAAATTAGTATTATAATCGAGCAGTTTTAATGGCTGACAAAAACATATGAAGATTAAAACTTCAACTTCCTTTCATTCACAAAATAATGTTAAATAAAATATATTTATTCCTTAGGTTGAAATTAATTAGTTAGAAGTAATATTTAAGTTAGGACACTGATTGTATGGTTCCATTATTAATGACGTTGACAAGAAAAATAATAATATATAACATGTATTACAAGTTAGAAGAATATATTTTAATACAAATTTTGAAATAATCATAATGGATCCACAATATACAAATTAAAAAAAAAATATATCAAAAGATAAGATATTTATTTTAATTCTGTAAGACATTTAATGAAATTATAAGCCATAGTAACTTTAAAATACAATTCAATTTATATTAAGACTCCATTTAAATTAAATTATTGAGTGTCAAAAAAAAATAGATAAATGCTATTACACATAATATACAAATTATTATCTTCATACAAGTATACATACTACATGATTTTAGTACCTAAACAAAAAAAGTATTATGCTGAGATTAATTTTAGATTTTCAATTAGTAAAAATAATACACTAATTCTGAGTATAGATGTATTTTTTTTTATTAAAAAATACAATTTATATGTATGTATTACATTCTTAATTTAAAAGCACAAAATTAAATAAAATTACGCTATTAAAGATATAAAAAAAATTAACTGTCTACTCATATTTCAGTATATGTAATATGATGCATTGTTAAAATGTAGTCCTAAAAGTATCATACCAACAAAGACTAATAAAATATATAAAAAGATAATATGTATATAATATATACAGGTTTTAATAACATGATTACATTGCTTCATGGCATAAATAATTTTTTTGAAATATCTTCCAGTTATATTCATCTCATAGTAAATGTTAAATATGATATTAGGTACCATGTAGTTATTGGCTGAATGGCCACTGCTAAAATCAGGAAATATAATGTTCTCTTACGTTTGTACTCAACCATTACTACCGGTTGGCCAACATTTGCAACTGTTGCTATTGAATTCAACTGCCATCTCATTGAAAATAACTAAAGATTAAAATAATTATAAATTATACATCTATAGTTAATGTTGAATTATTTAAAAATTATAATATAAAATATATTACCAAAAAGTACATAAATGCAATTCCAATGTATAGTAAGGCAAGATAAAATGCAGTTTCTCCAAAAAGTAAACCAATTGGAATACAGCTTATAATTCTGTAAATAAAAAAATATTAAAATTATATTATTTCTTAACAAATAATATATTTACCAGGAAGTAAGATAAAAAAAGTTCTCATATAATTAGTAAAACATAAGAAGAGTATACATTTTAGTCTTCAGACATTTTGAACAATTGCTTACCCAAAATACTTGTATCCTGAATAAGCCGTTAGATCAAAAGCACGTAATGAACTTTGTATATTTGTAACATATAGTGCCATTATTTCCACTAAAACCACTATTACTTCCCAAGCAAGAACACGAGAAGCCTGTACACTTAAAAGTTCTGGACTGAATTGCCCGTGTTTACCAAGAATGAGACCCAAAAACAGTAAATATCTGGAAAATAATTAATTTTAACTAAAAAAGTTATTAAAACAGATATAATATTAGTCATACGTTACAAAAGCTACAGTAGGAATATAAAGATCTGGTGCATTGACATCTGTTTTTGGTCTTGCTCGTCGACGATCATCGGATTGCTCGGTTGATTCTAGCATAATTGACCAATCCTTGAAAACAATTAAATGAGTTTATGAGTTTACTTTATTCAATAAATTAAAAAGATCATTTTGTTTTGAATATTAATTTTAAAAAAAACTGTTTAGTTTGAAATACATAGAAGAATATATTTTTGAACTTACTGTATGGACAAACGGAAACAATAATAAACCAAGTTTGCTGATCACATAACGGGTGTCTACAGCAAAATAACGTTTTATTTCTGAACTTATTCCGCTCGTATATTTTCCAACATTTTCATCAACAACCTGTCCTAAAATTTTCTGTCCATATCGCACTGTTACTCCTGCCAAAAGTGGATTACTTCCAAATGCATCAACCAAATTATTTGAAGGATTAAACATTATTGGTTGTGTTTGTTGAGGACTTGGACCCGGGCCTAAAATTATAAACAACAGAATAAAAATTTTGATAATAGAATTATTTAAATATTTCTTAACAAAAAATGGCACAGAGTCTCTTGGCATCCAAGAATGCCAACAGCACCAGAATTGAAAATAAAGGTTAAGAAATATTATGTAGTTATATTCAATATGGTAATAAATTATTGCTTTTAAGACTTTTGATAATTGTTCTAGAATAATAAATTAATAAATTAACAATAATTATTATATGTTTCAAGTACAGCATAAAAATATTTTATGTAATTATGTGATACTAGTACACCAAAAAATGATAAAAACTAACAGCCAAATTAAAAAGAATTGACTTCTGTGGATAATGAATCAAATTTCTGATGAATTAAGACCATTCATATCCAAGCAAAAAAATGATAAATGCGAATGTATCAAGTTCCGTGATCTATTAGAAACTTGATGGTATAATATCTTCAGAAATATAATTTATTACAAGACGATAAAACACAATATTCATATTTTAAATTATGAGCGTAGCATAGAATGTATTGATTTTACAAAGATATGTTTTTTTTTATTTGTTTCTGTACATGATAGGTAGTTGAAATAATGCTTCGATTTTAAACTTCGGTATCTTCTTTGTTGGAAAATGAATCTAGTTAGTGCATTAAGGGCCAGTTGCACCGTCTATGATTAAGCTTAATCAGATATTAACCGGGAAAATTCGGCCGATTAAACTCTGATTAACCATAATCATAGACTGTACAACTGGCCCTAAGGAGGTTACAATTCCCATTAACTTTGAAGAGCGCCAGAAAAAAAAAAAAATAACGAAAAACGAGAAATTTTACACAAAATTTATTAGCTTTTAAAAGCTTAAATTTTGACATAATTTATTAAATTGAAAATTCACAAATTATTTTGTTATTAAAAATGTATAAAAAGTTCAACTTTTATTTGGATTGAAAACGTAAAAAAAGATTGCATGTTAGTAGTTAATTCTGTAACCAAAAAATATGAAATATACACAAAAACACAGTTTTTTTTATAGTTATTTTAAGTTAAAATTTGGACAAATTTTCATATTAAATACCAAGAATAACGAAATTAGTTATTTTTTTGTAATTTTATAAAATAAGTTTACCTTACTGGCTACCATATTAAAAATAAGTACCTAATAATATTTTAAATATTCTAGACTGACAAACCGTCTCCGCTCAGAATCGTTTTTTGTATACATCAATATTATATCATTGAATTCAAATTTAATACCATTCATTATAGGGACCCACTTGTAACCTACAGGCTTTTTTAAATTTTAATAAAGGATTAATCCATTATTGTAATCAACCTATAATATTTACTGGATTTTTAAAACTCAAAAAACTGTAGTTTCAGTTGTAAACTTTAGATGTCAAAGTTAATCTAAGTAAAAATGTTTGTCTTGATTTATATAGCCCTCCACAGTTAGTTGATAGAAACTATATTATAGGTGGAAATGCTAAACATAAAAACTTTGATGGATAATTATTACATAGGTAAAGACCGGATTTATATGTTTTTACATATCGTTACTGCAGTGGCGTATTTTGAAATTTTTTGTGGGGGGGGTCTAAATATTAGGTACCTACAAGTTTATAATATAAAAAAAACACATACGAAGTAAGATGTAATAATTATATTATATTATATTTTTTTTCTGGGGGGGGTCCAGACCGGGGACCCCCCCTGTAAATACGCCACTGGTTACTGGGTCTATGCATTCTTCAGAGTGAAAAATGTGTTCAATTCTGAATGCATAGAAAAATGTTTTTTTTGCATATTAGAGAATATTTAACCTATTTAGTATATTTTGTAAATTGTGAGAAAAATTTGTATTTATTTTTTATTTTAATATTACGGTACCCAGGAAATTTTTTTTTTATTATTTCCAATTCTTACTATAGTCAGCGACATGAAAAGTAGCCCCTGCCCGTCACGAACCTAGAGGCCGTTTCGCCTAAGTTGTTCACATTATGCCCAGGCGAGTGGCACTGCGACCCCAGCACTGTATAGGTTGAGAGCCAATGGCTAAGGGGTAGGGAATCAGCAACGGGTTGCGGTACACAGGGGCCACTTTTCATGTAGCGGACTATAAGGTGCAACAGCATTTCATTAGAATACGCAACTTTTAATACCTAATTAATACCTCACTATTAAAATAGTTGAAAAAAAAATATTTAAAAATGCATAGTAAAGCAAATAATTATGTTTATTGATGATTTTAGCATATTTTTTAAATTTTTAAGAGAATGTAATGAGAATATTTGAATCATATTTTTTTTTTTTTTAAGATAATATAAATCCGGTCTTTTGTAATAAAATAAATATTATTTACACTAGGTTATCGAACCATTAACAGACACTTATATAAAGACATATTATTTCTATATAATATAAACATACACTTTGTTGTATATTTGTAATTATTTATGATATGGATAATGTCCATTCTTCTTTAAATTTATTTAGAATATTTTTTTTATTAAATCCTATTAATCTTTCTAGGTAGGCATAAAAAGTCTCACATGACAGATTGATAGAACCATATAACAGCATTTCATACATAACATGATTTAACACTCTAAAATACCTATATACCTAGATATAAATTGTTATTAATAATTACTTGGCGTGTAATGTTGTCGGTGATTTATGTTATCTGTTGGCATTGATCCAACATATCCAAAATCACTATTTCCATACCCATGTTGTTGTGATGATGGATTTGGTGTAAAGTCATTGTAATAGAATTGTTGTTGAGAAGGCATTGTTTGAGGCTCTGGTGGCTGAGAGTACATAGTTGGTTGGGCATAGTTGTATTGTACTTGTTGTGGAGGCATACTATTCACATCTAAACCAGGTGTTTCCATAGGACGTCTTGTCAGACGTTTATTGCTGTTGTTACCCGGCATGGCTAATTAAGAAAAAATACGATACAATTATACAAAACAGTTTACAATAGTATAATACTGATATATTATGACTCACTATTGAATGTGTTGTCGTTATAATTCATTACACTATCAATCGGAGTTCGCAATATTGAGTTTTAATTTATAAACTGGCCGATAGGAGACAATACGAAATGCATGCGGTTATGAATATTTTAATAATATTCAAAACAAACACCGTACGGATGAAAATAATCTGAACAATTAAGGTAAAACGTCTAACAAGTAAAATTTAGACGTGTACATTTCATTATTTCAATACGGCTCATGATTAAATTATTAAAATATGATGGAAAATGCGCTATCATTATTATATTCACTATCATTATTCATTATTATACACGTTCCACACTCGACGAAGGTGGCCGCATAATTATTGTGAAATGTTAACGATAAAGTGATAACGAACTCCGATTACTCCGAACCGAGGTATAGAGCCTGTGCCACATATTTTACCACAACGATGGTATGATGCCACACCGGCCTTGTCACACGGCCAATGCGAGCTCTCGTCTCTCTCGTGTCGTACTTACGAACGTTTCACGTCCGCCATGTCTAACACAATAGCAGGGCCAGTCATTTCGATCGTTTGTCGGCTTGGTCACCAATTCGTGCTGTTCTACAGTGTTGCCATTCCCCCTCGTCGCGTCCCCATCCACTACACTCGGCGTCGCTACTCGGCACAAATGCACACTCACTGTAGTAGTCACTACTCAAACAGTTCACGAACCGAAAAGTCGTGCTCGCTGTACCCGTCACTCCGCGACATTTCTTAATACTTTAATTCGTTCATTTTAATTGTTTAATCTTGGGCGTGCGTACGTCCTGCTGTGGATGTTTGTTGCCGACCGCCGAGTGAAGTGCTGATCTTTCATCAGCGGAAGTCGTCTTACGATTTTTGGTTCGTACGACTTACGCACAAGTCGTCGAACCAAAGGTGAGCATTGAACATTTTTTTTATTTTTCCCGACAATAATAATAACCGTTTACTTAATAAAATAACGCGTTCCCAGCTATGGTTGTAATTCGTTCTCGCAAACGTTCTCACGGAGCGTTGATTGTTCGAAATCGGTATATCTTTTTTAGATATTAAGTTTTGGTCAATATGGTCGCTTTCATTTTTACCTTGCTCCCTTTGTTATTCGAACGTTTGAAATCAAACGTCCTCTTATGTTACTCGCCGAATTTTTCTCCAATTACGCCTCTACAATACCGCCGGACCTTTACAAAACTCGTTCTTAAATAATTACCCATTGTAGGTTAGGTTAGGTATTTTTCATTGTGTTTCTAACATTATTTACCGCACGAAATGTTCGAAACAAATTAGATCGACTAGAAAAAAGCTATTTGTCTGAAACGTGTAATGTTCACGCGGTTGTGTTGTATGCAGGCATTTTATGGATGCCATTTTTTTTATGGCTACTCGTCAGTGGCGGACCGGCGTTTAACGTCGTATGCTCTACTGTCGTTGTGCATGAGTCTGACCATTTTGAGGTCTGTATTTTAATCTCACCGCGAATAACCTTAGCTTGCAATTTTGTGTGTGTGAGACTGATTAAAAAAAGTGTCGTAGGTAGTAGCCCCATAGGAGTTCGAGGACGCCATTTTTTTTTAATAGATGCTCGTCAGTGGCGGACCCGCTGTTTAACGTCAATGCTCTACAACTGTCGTAGTGCAATGATCGAGTATTTAGAGGTTTTTAAATTTCATCTCCAATAACCTTAGCTTGAAATTAATCGCGTGAGACTATTAATAATTCTATTTCCCGGAGAGTGTTGGCTCGGTGAAGTCGTAGTCGCCCGAGAAGTGTGACGGCGGCCATTTTTTAAACTTTATTTATCGTTGGCGCGCCATGACGGACCGGTCTAATGTCGCGGCTATACTACAGTACTATCCAGTCAGAACGTCGTGCAATACTCGACCTCTACGCCGTTTATTTAAATAATCGTCACGACTAATTCATATTTCGTTTTTTGACGATCGCGCTACGCCTAATCGTTCGTTTGTTATTCAAAACGGCGCGCGCCTTCGTCGCCGGCGTTTGTGTTTTTCAGTCTTTGTGAGTTCCCGGCGTTCCCGCGTTCGATCGTTGGCCGGCGCCGACGCTGGTTATTTATCGCCCGAAATCCGTCGTACAAACAGACTAGAGGAGTAGCGGACGCGGCACCGCCACTGCGTCACGTCGGTCGATACAATGTTACCACCCCGGCATACTACTTGGTACCGCGGTATACTTTTACCGACCGGACGCCAAGTCGTGTAGCGTACAAAAAACGCAAACAACAAATTAATAACAAACCTCGTCAATCGTACGCTTGCCCGTCGTCTTATGTTTGCCCGGTTTCTTCTTTGTTAACCGTTTTTTAACGTTCGCGTCTAGGTGGGTGTCGTGACTGCGTTCGGTCGATGTTCGTTCTCCCCCGTCGTGTCGTCGCTTGTTTACATTTCAACTTTTAACGGTGGTTGCAATTGTCGTGTATCACCGTCGTTCACTCGTTCGTTACGTAATGGCCGCCGACCGCTCGTTCCCGTAGTTCGAAAGCGCGTGTTTAGTTTTAGCCGGCTGCGACGGAATTGTTTCGGGCGATTCACTTTATTTTGTTTACAACGCTCAAATTGTCTGCCTATTTTTAGTTTTCACTGGATATTTATCACAAGTAATTATTCGTTTGTTTGTTTTGTTTATTAATTGTGTCGATGATACACATTCATCAATAAATATTATTCATAATTTTGGATGAAACAGGCGTTACATCATATCAAGTGATCAAGTTATGAACTATTATCGTCCGCCTACTTATGTTTAATTAGAATAAAACAAATTATCTAATTTTAAAAATTAATATTATATATCACTATTTAAGTAATGAGTATAAGTATATACAGTATATTATAAGTATTGTATGCAGTACGTACTTGAAATTGGACGAAAAACCAATAGTGAAGGACCAGTGTTGGGTAAATTACTAATGAAAAGTAACAAAATTACAATAAGTCCTCTCGTTACATTAAATATTTTCATTATTGATAGACTATTCCAAATCTACCAATTCTACATGCTTGCACCAGTGGCAGTGTTTCAGTTATAAAATATGTCTAAAATAATTATTATTTTACACTATATAATATAAGTAGTTTACTTATAAGAAGTATGGCCTGGATTTATATGTATTTTTTTTAATATTGTAAAAAGTAGCTAGATAAGTTACAAGTTTGAATTATAGTCAATAGATCCGGGATACAAAGTTGTTTTTTGTATATTTTTGCATATTTTGTTTTTTTTTACATAGGTATGCTGTATATTTCTGGCCTGTTTTTTACGATTTTTCATTGCAAAAATAGATGGATTTAATTCAATTTTTAATATTTTCCATTTTTTTGATGTGTAGGTACTGCACATTTCTGTATTTTACGACTTTGAATCAGAAAATACCCATTTGTTGTACTTTTGTTTGTTGATTTTACCTGATGAGCGAAAATTATTTATTTTTTATATACAAACAAACCATTGTCAAAAATCTTTGATTTTATTTCAATTCAAAAAAATATGGATAAAAATTTTATAATATAATACAACTATTTCAACAAGTTACACAAATTTCCTCTGCTCTTAATTTAAATTTTAAATTTTTCGAGGAATTTTTGCATGTTTCAATGTTTATCAGTGCATAATGCATATAATTTATTTTATTTTTGAATCTGAACTGAAAGTTTCCAACGCCGTTCCACGAGGGAGTGATACTATATATTACTACTAACTATATAACGCTACATATTGCGATACTCTTTTGTACATACAAATCTGTGCTCTATTAATATAAATTACATTTTATTTTTAAATATCTAGTATCAAACTTGGTTTTTCTTTAATTGTACATATTTATTAATTTCTCAAAATTGTGAGGCATTTGACTGTTTTCAATAATTCGTCACTACTAAATTTTTAACCTAGAATGCACGCTTACTGGTCTAAAAGACTGGGCTTTTAGAATTTTGATTGATTAAGAAGACATCGTACCCGCATATGTTGTCTCCATCTTAAACGCAAATGGGCTTTTTATTATATTATTTTAATTTTAAAGCGAGTTATTAGTATTTTAAAATTGTAAATTGTTTGTACATCTTAAATAAAATTACTCTCTTTAAACTTGCTATTTAAAATTAAAATATAATTAAAAGCCTATGAGATTGCCTAGGTTATAATAATATTAGGTACCTTTAAATTGTATAAGAGGTCAATTAAATTCACTCTAATTCTTAAACGAAATAAGCTAAATGTGTTCTGCCGAGTGTATAATTTGTTGTTATGCGCTTGTGGGACGGATACAACAAACGTCGGTGTAATGTCTGCTTAAAAATTAAAATATCTTAAAAAACTAATGAGAGTGATCTGACACAGATAATTTTCCTACCTAAATATTTTATAATAGGCTTATCACTCTAATATTTCAACTAACAGCACACTATTGAAATTAGTGAACAAAAATTTGCTGTCGTATGTGTGTAAAACGGACAACACAGTTTCACAAATTCAAAATATTAACTATGATAAATGAGTATCTTCTATATAAGTAATAAACTAAAATTAGATATAACTCATGTATAGTATTAGATGTCTGGGTCTTAGAAATTCTCAAAGCGCATTCCCATTAAAATGCAGTTTAAAATACTGTCAAGCTAACCGTGACATTTATAAACTATTTAATTTTATGATATCTCAATAACAAATTATTTTTTAACTTATCATTGTGAATGGTGATTGGTGAGATTATTGCTTTAACACCGGTGAACCGTGTGGTTCAATAGACGGTCAGAAACACTGCGTGCGTGTATCCTTAAAAATATTTTTGGTGCATGGTACCTATCTTGGGTTAATATTTTGATCATATTTAGATTTCAATTTTCTATTTATAACACAACCTTTCTCACACTAAGTTAGGCATCTAATTGATTTTTGCTAGGCTATTTAATTTTGGTTTGTACTTTTCTATGATGATTGATTTAGATAGTATTACATTGTCGGTAAATAACTATTATAGGTAGTAGTATAAAGTAAAATGTTTAATGTATATTATATTTCTAATAATATTCTTAATATTCTATTAATTATTGTTAAATTAGTTATAATTTATAATTTGGAAAATTAAATTTTTTTTTTCTAGATACAATGGGTGTCTGTTTTCTTTGTGATACAAAATTGTACGGTGAACGTACACGGGTGTGTTCTAGCATTACACCACATAGTAATGTATCATACCCAGAAAAAATTGTTGAGCTTATGGGAGATGAATTTGTGGTTATTGTGACCCCTGCAGATCACATGTGCAAGAAATGCACTTCTCTTTTGACTCATATGGACAAGTTGGAAAATGATCTGAAACTTGTTAAAAATGCAATGTTGTCATATATACAAAAGAAATATGGAATATTGCCTCCAGATCAGGCTGTTAAGGGTGTTGAGGTACGGATAGAACCTAATTAGAAACAAGTTACATAGTATTAGGTTGTTATATAAAAAAAATTACTTTATCTTTTACTTAGATTGTCAATGGACATATAAAGGCAGAGGAACAACTAGAACAAGGTCAGCGTAAAGTACCTAGTGGTCTGACAGTAGGAGTTTCTCCTACTGTAACTACTGCTGCTGTAGTTACTCCGGTCCAAACTCCCATAAAATTGATAAAAACACAACAACAACAGCAGCAGCAGCAACAGCACCAACCACAACAACAACAACAACAACCACCACCAACACAACAAGAAAGCGCTAACAAAATGAAAATATACAAGTGCGGCTTTTGTACGTTCCAATCGAAAGAGCTTGGTCATGTTCGGTATGTACATTATTAAATATAATTTTAAAATTATTATTAATACTTTAATTGTAGATTCCACATGCGTACTCATATGAACAAAAAGGAGCCTGAAAAACCTATTCTTAATCAAGCAGCAGCTAAAGCGTTAACTCCGGTAAGAATAAGAAAAAAATATCATTTATTATATTAATTTAGTTAACAGTTTCATTGCTACTTTTTCCTCTTGATAATTTTTGATTATAATATATGTTAATGCTGTTAACTACACTAAATTGTATTTTGCATCATTGAACCATGTTACTGTGTTACAAAGACAAATATCCTATTTTGTTCCAAAAGATCATAATTTAAAAATATATATTATAGTACTAATGTTTTTATTTATTGGTTTTTAAGAAAATGTCATGTATTTTTTTTCTCTGACCCACCCGAAATTTAACAAATTTTATGGTCAAAATCATATTAATTTCTAAAATTAGAGCTAAATGACCTCTTATAATATTTTAAGGTAAGATTATTATCTTAGGTCATCTCATAGGCTTCTTATTATATTTTAATTTTATAATGAGCGATGAGTATTTAAAAATGGTTTGTACAACTTAGAATATTTATAATTTCCTTAAAAATTAAAATAAAAAGCCTACGAGGTGCTCTAAATAATAATCTTACCTTAACATCTTGTGGTAATTTCACTCTTAATTTTAGAAACTAATGATCATTATTGTGAACTTAAAATTTGCTATGTTGTTTTTGTGTGAGGGAGAAAAAAAAGCGCTGACAATCCTCCTTAACCCTTTGATGGGTGAATTATTATTTTACCATGATCACCTACAGAGTGAATTAACATGACAATATAGGCGACTTCTTTTACAAATGGAAAATAATAATTGTAATAAATATAATATATATTAATGTTCTTATCAAGTTTTTAGAAAAGTTAGGTGACAGATGGCAGCACATATTTCATTATGTGTTTGAAATCTGTACAAACATAATTGCAATCACTAAAATTCGATAAAAACCATAACCATAACTCAATGCCATATAAGTCATTACTCTACAGAATATACTTACTAAATTATGTAAATATACGTTAATACTCGTCAAAGGGTTAATTTTAAAAGAATTTCTTTCAATATTAAATTTATGTAACTACTATTATAAAAGCAGTTAATAATATGAGACAATTTTGAATTGATCTCTTAATTTATATAAATTTAATTATATTAAATATCTCATTTAGGTACCACAACAGAAGAAACGACTCTATAGATGTCAAGTATGTTCTAGATCCTTTGATAGTCGAATTAACTGCCTTGATCACATTCAGAAAGACCATAATCAGCCAACTCCATCAACCTCAAATGGAGTAAATAAAATATTAAATATTTCAACATCTTCATGTCCTAATTATTTGAATTTATTTTTAGGATAGAGAAACGGAAGATTCTCGTCCAGTTTCAACCAAAGTTATAAAACCGGAACCATCCAAGACTCAAGAAAATAATCCTCAAGCGGAGTCTCCTATGGATGTGGATGAAAATCAACAAGATGATAATAAAGGCACTGTGGACACGGATATGATGCTAAATGACAATGTCGTCCCCGCTGAAGGATCTGCAAATGTTGAACAAGAAGAAGGAACTGAAAATGCAGTCGAAGGAGAAGAAACTGAAAACTCTCAGGAAGATAAGACTGTAAAAGAAGTTAAATCAAAAAAAAAACCTGAGCCTGCACAAGAAGAAGCCGCTGAAGAAGAAGAGGATGAAGAAGATACAGCCGTGCCTGAACAGGAAGAAGCTGATCAAGAAACTCCAGACAGTGTTGAGAAAGAAATGGATGAAGACAATGCAAATGTGGAAAACAAAACAGGAGACTTGGACATAGAATCAATGTTAGCCGCAATCCATAATGATAATCCTACTAACAGTGTGGATATACAAAACAAAGATTAAGATTTACACAACTTATTTAAAAGTTAGTAATCAATTTTATATTTATAATCTCTAGTTTCATAATTTAAAAATTATTTTTCCATTAAGTTTTTTTTTTAATATTATCTTTTAATAACTTTTAAGTGGCATAAATTAGGAGACTGTTATATTTATTAAAATATTAAAATTAACCATTTTTTTTTTTTTATTAATTATTTAGATAGGAGTACATTTAAAAACGACATTCAAAAAATGTAATAGATTTTGGAATACAATAAACCATTCTATTTAATGAATTATTTAAATTATACAATAACTGACGGTAATATTTAAACCAAATTAACATAACTCAATAGTGTTAAAATGAATTGCCTAACAGTAGTTAATTTCTACTTAGATAAAAGTAATTTATTGCTTGATATTCGTGATCTTGTAATATATTTCAATTTTGTACCTAAGTTATACTCAATAGTATTCAATTTCCTATCATAATCGTCTAAAGGCAATTTACAGACATCTAAAAATGCATTCACTGTTGTCATGGTTTATAGTTAAATTTGTTAAATCAAAAGTAAGACAAATAAATTTGCATACTTCAAAAATATAATGTAATTGTTTTACAAATTAAATACATAGTATTAAGAAAAAAAAAATTTAAAACCAAAACAAAAAATTTTTTAGAATCTAGTTTAATACTTTATTTTTATTTTTTTATTAACAAAATGTGTAGGTTAGCTTAAAATACTGAATAGTATTCTTCAAGTGCGGGTCCATATTAATTTTAAGACAAATTCAGAGGCATCAAATATGCATGAATATTTGTCATAGTTTTAATAAATTAACTTAATCAATAATTTTAATAGGTAACGTTAAATTACTAATAAGTGTAAAGTACTAATAATTAATTATGTTAAAATGTTTATATAAAACAAAAAATTAAAATTAAAAATATATTAGTATTAGTATAGTTCTTCACATTCTTAATATTTAAGTAAATATTTATTAGTATTAAATGAATTCATTAGAGTTCATGCAGATGGTATACATTGAATTATTAACCAATAAGACAAGTTCAGAGGCATAAAATATGCATGATTCTTTGTCATAGTTTTAATAATCTTGGCTTAATCAATAATTTTATTAGGTAACATTATATTACATTAGCTGTACTAAAGTGCTAAAAATTAAATACATAGCAATATATAAAAAAAAAAAAAAAAATATTTATTATTATCTAGTGTAGTAATTAAGAATTATTGTTCATTATTTTCAGAATGTGTAGGTTAGCTTATTATACTGAATAGTATTCTCCAAGTTCTAGCATATATTACTTTTAAGACAAATTTAAACTCATTTAAATATGCTTGAATTTTTGTCATAGTTTTAATAATTTTAGGTTCATCAATGATTGCGGTCACATAACTAGATTTTACTACATTCAAGTTTTGCAATCAAATGTGTAGATTACATAAAAAAAGAATATAATAAAATATATTTTAGGTTCTTGAATTTATGCTTTTGGCGCTCATTTTTTATCATCTACTATATCATTGAAAGTAAATATTTAAAGCAAATATTTTATACAAATAAATATTTCATATTTGAGTAATAATGTTCTGATTATTTTTAAGTTAAGTTCAGAAGCATAAAATATACATGAATCTTTTTTATAGTTTTAATAATATTAGCTTAATCAATAAATTTTATAAGTAAAATTAAATTACATTAGTGTACTGTACTAAAGGATTTAGTCACATAGTAATATTAAAAAAAAACAAAGTTATTTATTTGTATCTACTATCGAGTATAATTCTAAATTTTCATTTATTATATTCAAAATGTGTAGGTTAGCTTAGTATACTGAATAGTATTCTCCAAGTTAAAATGCTTATTATTTATAAGTTTACAGGTTCATCTTTGATGTTCAAAATATTTATTAGTATTAAATGAATTCATTAATATTATTGATTACAAACACTGTAGATTGCTCACTGGCCGGGTTTTCAGTGTCACAAAATATTTACTCCCGGTAGATGGCGAGGTGACGTGGCTACTAGCGTTTACAACGTTATCCAATCTGACTAAACCAGACGGCCATGTTATTTGGTGCGGGCTTGTGATTAGTAATGTCGGAAATGTTTTAATCGCTCGTAGTCACGTCGCCTCGCCATCTACCGAGAGTAAATATTTAGTGCCACCTAAAAACCGGCGAGTGAGCAATCTATAGTATTTATAATCAATGTTAATATTCATGCAGAGTGTATACATTGGATTTATTATTTATTAAGACAAGTTCATAGACATAAAATATGCATGAATCTCTGTCATAGTTTTAATAATCTTAGCTTAATCAAAAATTTTCATAGGTAACATTAAATTACTTTAGTGTACAGTACTAAAGTATAAATAATTAATGACATAGTAATGTAAAAAAAAAAAAAAAAAAATGTACTTATTAGTATCTAGTTTAATTCTTACATACTTGATATTTTAGTAAATATTTAAGAGTATTAAATGAATTTATTAGTATTCATTCAGAAGTATAAATTGAGCAATTATCTATTAAGACAAGTTCAGAGACATAAAATATGCAAGAATCTTTGTCATAGTTGTAATAATCGTAGCTTAATCAATAACTTTTATAAGTAAAAAAAAAAATTATTATTATTTAGTATCTAGTTTAGTTATTTAAATAAATATATATTATTATTAAATGAATTTATTAGAATTCATGAGGGGCGTTTCGTATTCATTGTATTTTAAGACAAGTTCATAGGCATAAAATATGCATGAAACTTTGTCATAGTTTTAATAATCCTTACTTAATCAATAATTTTCATAAGTAACATTAAATTACATTAGTGTACAGTACTAAAGTACTAAAAACTATATACATAAAAATACAAAAATTAAAATAATAAAACCAAAAAAAAAATTAACTTATTAGTAACTAGTTTAGTTATTTAAGTAAATATTTATTAGTATTAAATGAATTCATTAGAATTCACGAGGAGTTTGCTTTTTAATATATTTTAAGACAAGTTCATAGGCATAAAATATGCATGAATCTTTGTCATAGTTTTAATAATCTTAGCTTAATCAATAATTTTTATAGGTAAAAAAAAAATTTAATATCAATCTCCAAAAAAAATTAACTTATTAGTAACTAGTTTAGTTATTTAAGTAAATATTTATTAGTATTAAATGAATTCATAAGAATTTATGAGGGGCGTTTGGTATCCATTATATTTTAAGACAAGTTCATAGGCATAAAATATGCATGAAACTTTGTCATAGTTTTAATAATCCTTACTTAATCAATAATTTTCATAAGTAACATTAAATTACATTAGTGTACAGTACTAAAGTACTAAAAACTTTATACATAGAAATACAAAAATTAAAATAATAAAACCAAAAAAAAATTAACTTATTAGTATTTAGTTTAGTTATTTAAGTAAATTTTTATTAGTATTAAATGAATTCATTAGAATTCACGAGGAGTTTGCTTTTTAATTATATTTTAAGACAAGTTCATAGGCATAAAATATGCATGAATCTTTGTCATAGTTTTAATAATCTTAGCTTAATCAATAATATTTATAGGTAAAAAAAAAAATTTTAAATCAAAATCCAAAAAAAAATTAACTTGGGAGTATTTACTTTAGTTATTTAAATAAATATTTATTATTATTAAATGAATTCATTAGTATTCATAAAAAATGTTTTATATTCAATATACAGGGTGATTTTTTTATCAAAGAACACTCATTATTTCAAAAAGTATTAATGTTTAAGAAAATATTTTTTTACATAGTTTCAAGTTGTTAAAAACAATATTTTTATATATTTTTTATCCTTTTAATTTTTTAAGTTTTTTACTTTTTTGAATGACAACATCTAATTTTAATTTGATATTCAAAAACAGAATATTTTTCTGAGTATTTCGATACATAAAAATTGAATTTAGGGCAATTAGTTTATGAGTTATAAGTATTTAAAGTTTAGATGAGCGGAGTAGAGTGGTACGGGGTTACCCCGCGAAATGTTTGTCCTCTACTCCGCTCAACTAAACTTTAAATACTTATAACTCATAAACTACTTGCCCTAAATTCAATTTTTATGTATTAAAATAATCAGAAAAATATTCTGTTTTTGAATATCAAATTAAAATTAGATGTTGTCATTCAAAAAAGTAAAAAACTTAAAAAATTAAAAGGATAAAAATATTTAAAAATATTGTTTTTTAACAACTTGAAACCATGTAAAAAAATATTTTCTTAAACATTAATACTTTTTGAAATAATGAGTGTTCTTCGATAAAAAAATCATCCTGTATTAAGACAAGTTCATAGGCATAAAATATGCATGGATCTTTGTCATAGTTTTAATTATCCTAACTTAATCAATAATTTTCATAGGTAACATTAAATTACATTAGTGTAAAGTACTAAAAACTATATACATAAAAATACAAAAATTAAAAAAAATTAAATTAATAAAACCAAAAAAAAACTAACTTATTAGTAACTAGTTAATTTATTTAAGTAAATATTTATTAGTATTAAATGAATTCATTAGTATTCATGAAGGCACATCAGTTTTATATATTAAGACAAGTTCATAGGCATAAAATATGCATGAATCTTTGTTATAGTTTTAATAATCATAGCTTAATCAATAATATTTATAGGTAAAAAAAAAAATTTAAAATCCAAATCCAAAAAAAAATTAATTTAGGAGTATTTACTTTAGTTATTGAAATAAATATATATTATTATTAAATGAATCATTAGTATTCATAAAAAATGTTCCGTATTCAATGAATTAAGACAAGTTCATAGGCATAAAATATGCATGAATCTTTGTCATAGTTTTAATAATCCTAACTTAATCAATAATTTTCATAGGTAACATTAAATTACATTAGTGTACAGTACTAAAGTACTAAAAACTTTATACATAAAAATACAAAAATTAAAATAATAAAACCAAAAAAAAATTAACTTATTAGTATTTAGTTTAGTTATTTAAGTAAATTTTTATTAGTATTAAATGAATTCATTAGAATTCACGAGGAGTTTGCTTTTTAATTATATTTTAAGACAAGTTCATAGGCATAAAATATGCATGAATCTTTGTCATAGTTTTAATAATCTTAGCTTAATCAATAATGTTTATAGGTAACATTAAATTACATTAGTGTACAGTACTAAAGTACTAAAAACTATATACATAATGATACAAAAATTAAAATAATAAAACCAAAAAAAAAATTAACTTATTAGTAACTTATTTAGTTATTTAAGTAAATATTTATTAGTATTAAATGAATTCATTAGAATTCACAAAGAGTTTGCTTTTTAATTATATTTTAAGACAAGTTCATAGGCATAAAATATGCATGAAACTTTGTCATAGTTTTAATAATCTTAGCTTAATCAATAATATTTATAGGTAAAAAAAAAAATTTTAAATCAAAATCCAAAAAAAAATTAACTTGGGAGTATTTACTTTAGTTATTTAAATAAATATTTATTATTATTAAATGAATTCATTAGTATTCATAAAAAATGTTTTATATTCAATATACAGGGTGATTTTTTTATCGAAGAACACTCATTATTTCAAAAAGTATTAATGTTTAAGAAAATATTTTTTTACATAGTTTCAAGTTGTTAAAAAACAATATTTTTATTAAAAAATTATATTTTTAAATATTTTTTATCCTTTTAATTTTTTAAGTTTTTTACTTTTTTGAATGACAACATCAAATTTTAATTTGATATTCAGAAACAGAATATTTTTCTGAGTATTTCGATACATAAAAATTGAATTTAGGGCAATTAGTTTATGAGTTATAAGTATTTAAAGTTTAGATGAGCGGAGTAGAGTGGTACGGGGTTACCCTGCGAAATGTTTGTCCTCTACTCCGCTCAACTAAACTTTAAATACTTATAACTCATAAACTACTTGCCCTAAATTCAATTTTTATGTATTAAAATAATCAGAAAAATATTCTGTTTTTGAATATCAAATTAAAATTAGATGTTGTCATTCAAAAAAGTAAAAAACTTAAAAAATTAAAAGGATAAAAATATTTAAAAATATTGTTTTTTAACAACTTGAAACCATGTAAAAAAATATTTTCTTAAACATTAATACTTTTTGAAATAATGAGTGTTCTTCGATAAAAAAATCACCCTGTATTAAGACAAGTTCATAGGCATAAAATATGCATGGATCTTTGTCATAGTTTTAATTATCCTAACTTAATCAATAATTTTCATAGGTAACATTAAATTACATTAGTGTAAAGTACTAAAAACTATATACATAAAAATACAAAAATTAAAAAAAATTAAATTAATAAAACCAAAAAAAAACTAACTTATTAGTAACTAGTTAATTTATTTAAGTAAATATTTATTAGTATTAAATGAATTCATTAGTATTCATGAAGGCACATCAGTTTTATATATTAAGACAAGTTCATAGGCATAAAATATGCATGAATCTTTGTTATAGTTTTAATAATCATAGCTTAATCAATAATATTTATAGGTAAAAAAAAAAATTTAAATTCAAATCCAAAAAAAAATTAATTTAGGAGTATTTACTTTAGTTATTGAAATAAATATATATTATTATTAAATGAATCATTAGTATTCATAAAAAAATGCTCCGTATTCAATGAATTAAGACAAGTTCATAGGCATAAAATATGCATGAATCTTTGTCATAGTTTTAATAATCCTAACTTAATCAATAATTTTCATAGGTAACATTAAATTACATTAGTGTACAGTACTAAAGTACTAAAAACTATATACATAATGATACAAAAATTAAAAAAAATTAAAAAAAATAAAACCAAAAAAAAATTAACTTATTAGTAACTAGTTTAGTTATTTAAGTAAATATTTATTAGTATTAAATGAATTAATTTGTATTCATGAAGGCTCCATTGTTTTTTATGTATTAAGACAAGTTCATAGGCATTAAATATGCATGAATCTTTGTCATAGTTTTAATAATTGTAGCTTAATCAATAATAGTTATAGGTAAAAAAAAAAATTCAAAAAAAAAATTTATTTTTTTGAATAATATAGTTCTTAATTTTTAATTTTAATTTTCCAAATTAGTAGGCTACCTTAGTATACTGAATAGTATTCTCCAAGTTATGTTGTTTTTGCATTACTTGTAAGCTTTTAGGTTTTTTTTTTAAATATTTATTAGTATTAAATGATTTCATTAGTATTCATGCAGGTTTTACAGACAAGTTACATTAGTGTACAGTACTAAGGTACTAAAAACTAAATACGTAGTAATATAAAAATAAAAACCAAAAAAAAATTAACTAGTATCTAGTTTAGTTATTTAAATAAATATATACTATTATTAAATGAATTCATTAGTATTCATTAAAAATGTTTCGTATTCAATATTTTAAGACAAGTTCATAGGCATAAAATATGCATGAATCTTTGTCATAGTTTTAATAATCTTAGCTTAATCAATAATTTTCATAGGTAACATTAAATTACATTAGTTGTACTAAAGTGTTAAAAATTAAATATGTAGCATTATTCAATAATCTTAGCTTAATAAATGATAGTGTTTCCATTAATACTTTGTTTTAATTATTTTTAATTTATTAATGTTTTAGTTAATATTTTATAATATTGTATTCACAATTTTTATTTAAAATACTGTTAATATTTTTGAAATTTGTGTATTTTCATCTGAATATGCATAAGTCTTTGTAAAAGTGTGTATGTAGTTTAACCTTTATTAGTAATTTATTATGTAATCGTGTTAACTTAAATATATTTTTACATCTATAACATCTGTATCCATGTCTTTGTCATAGCTTTTATAATATGATTTCTTTTCTTTTTTTTTTTTACCTACTGTAGTAAGCAAAAGAAAATATAGTTTATAGTACCTGAATCAATTAATACTTGGAATTGGATTTAAATTAAATATACATAATTAAAAAATGCACATTTTTCATTTTTTTGCTGTATGAGAAAACATTATTCAACACATAAAGCAAATTTAAAAATATATTTTAAGCAATCTAGTTTAAGAGTTGTAAACAAATAATAATAAATGGTAATTTGTAATATTATACTATACTTATTTATACATCTTAATCACATTTCTTAAATAAACTTCACTTTATTATATTGAAACAACTTGTTTTTTGTTATATAACATTGTGTTTGTATTCTAAATAAAAATAACATAATCACTAAAATACTAGTCATGATGGTCGGGTGTCCGTCTAGATGTTTCGTAATCATAATTAACTGAAGAAGTCCTACTTGTAGGAGCTTCATTGTTTATAGTTACTGATTGGCTCACCACTGGTTCGACAACAAACAATAAACTAGATGTACTAGGTGTGTGGTGGTTACTACTGTCACTATCACTGCGCATCAATGTATCTTCCTGTTTTCCATCTTGATAGCCAAAATCGTCATTAGTTGATAACACTTCCGTGTATGTGATGTTTGATAAATTCGATGATGCAGAGTCGTTAGGCAATGGCGGTTGTGGTGGGAAGACTGTGCGCACGTTTGGTTTCTCGCTGCGTCTTTCTAGCCGCCCTCCTGCTGTAATTGTCATTTGTTCATCTAATTCTTCAATCACCTAATCAAAACAATAACATATTTTAAACTATTGTATCAATAATTGTTAATGTTTTTTTCTTAATACCTGATCGGCAATTCGAACACTACCAAATTGTTGTTGTAATAATTTACTACTGCTACTCTGTAAACTCTCTTGGCTCTGCCAGCTACTGCCTGGCAATCTATTGCTGCTCGATACCCTCGATAACAGTCCTGTACAGAACAAGTTAACAACATTATTAAAATATCACAATATATTTTTATAAATGTTTATCAATGTAGGAAATTCGTCAAAATCACGACAATTTTCAAACTATTTTGTGTTAGAAATTCATAAAAGAATGTACCTACCCAACCTAAACCTAACATTAGATTTTCAGCCGTAAATTAACGAATTATCATCGAATGATTTCCTTTTTTTTGTTGTAATTCAAATACGAATAATTATAGACATTTCACCAAATGTTTATAATTAAGTTTATTTATCATTTTCCGTATAATATGGTACAATTTTCAAAATATTTTAATTGTTATTAATATTATAGGCATTTGACATTTTCAATAGATTTCTTCGTTGGGTTGAAAATCTTGAAAATGTATACAATGTTCCTTATAATGTGTCGTATTAGCAGTTCAAACAAATCAAGTATACGTTTGGGTAGGCATTATGTTTATTTTTATAAGCATTTAAGACTTTAAGACGACCATGTGTTGTCTCCGTCTTACAACATATCTAAAACGGTGTGTAGTGAGGGATGCAACTATACTACCTCTGCATTTATAGTAGAATTACCAAAATTTCACAACGCATACGGAAGAACTTTATCTGTGTCGTAGTTTTTTTGATGGCACTAACCAATAAATTGTATTAACTAAAATACTAAATGATAAAACACAAAAAAAAAACCTAATGTTCTCAAATTGAGAACGTTAAATGTATTTATGTTATCTAAATAATAAAAAACACCACGACACAGATAAAGTTCTACCCTATGCGTTGTGGAGTATTAGTAATTATACTATAAATACAGAGGGAGTTGTCCCACAGTGTTTGGTATGTCTTACATTTGTAAGATGGATACGCAGCCGTATAGCGACCTCTTAAAAGTTCAAATGTTGAAATGATGAAAATTCATCATAATAACGAAAATTTGAAAATTATTTTGTATTGGAACTTACCATTTCCTTCTCTCTGTCACACACACACTACTCCTAAATAAATCTGGGACGGGCCGGGGGAAGTTTAGGAGCTCGGAACCCTAAAATAATGGCAATTGACCCCTTTAGCTGTCCGTTTTCTGAGCCCTTGTTGTGCCCGTGCAGCCCACTTCTTTCTCAGAAATAAAGTCGACCGGGGTGTGTCTATGAAGAAATAAAACGGCACTCACCATCTCCACCCAACTGGGTGGAGGTACCGCCGGTGCGTTTGAACAGATTTTTCAATATAGACGTGACCGAACCGACTCGGTTTAGCGAGCTGGCCACGCTCTGGTTGTTGAGATGGTGGTGGTGATCGTTGGAGCTGTGTGACGATATGGGACGGCCGCGCAGCAGACTGTTTGATCTCTTATAGCTGCCCCCTGTCGCAACGAAGTGTATTCCGCTGTTAGCGTCATCGTCGTCCTGTAACAAAAACGTGCATTTGTGTTATTGGGTGTTAATAATGATTATGGGTTATCATAACAAAATGTTACGCATGGGTAAGATCGTATATACAATTAATTTAAAAATAAGATCGTAAACTATTTTAAGTGTTATTATACGCTTATACCCGATATTTGCAGGTAATAATATAGTATGGAAAAAATACTCATTATACTATTGCGAATAGACGAAATTATGGTTGCCACTTGCCACACTATAATATTATAATATATGAGCCGTTTTGACTTATGGCCGGTTCCGCTCGACCACATGGCACATTTTTTTCAAAAAGGTTAAAAACCACTATTTAAATATCAATAATCAATATGCAATTACTCCGCTAACAATTTTGAACCCTTAAGACACCAATACGGACAATGTTCAATTTCAATATAATAGGTGGGTAACAAATAATCAATAGGCACTACATGGGAAAAAAATAATTGGTTAGTCTCACTTAAATTTTAGTTACCTCAGATAGTCAGCTGTAAATTATAGTTCCCTATGGCATTGGTCAATTTTTAGCCCCAGATACCACACTTTGATAGTTACAAGCTAATATAGCTAATACAACTAAATAATATTTACGAATATTATAGTTAATAGTCATAACATGGCCCTCTCAATAAAAATATACAGGTAAGTACCTCTACCTAATATAACTAAACTTTAAAATTAGTTTCACTACAATTTACCTATATCCTACCAAAAAAAATCCAGTTACATTATAAGTTCAAAGACGAGGATAACATTTAAATATAAGGATATTTCTTTAAAGTTTCCATTTTCTAAAATGTTACAAAATAACTATAGCTTAAAATCACATGACTAAGTCAAAAATTTAGAAAAATTGCCAAAAATTTAAAATGCTATCGTTTAAAAAAATTTGAAGTCTACAACATATGCTTTATACATATAAGTATATAATATATTCTATTATATTCTATAATTTCCAAATGAACAATAAAATGTAAACGATTTGTGCGGTATCAAACAAATTAGTCTATTATAATATATTATATTTACTATGGCTTGTCCGTCGTCGCAGCCTTTGGGTGGCAGTGAGTATTCGGCGTCTGCATCTGATACAGCTATATTAGCTGTCGATGGCTCGGGGTGCCGTTCACGTTCTCCGGCAGCTACAGTATATGGCAGTTCTGTTGGAAACACTTGATCCCAATACTGATCTCTGATCAACTCTGGATGTTCGTGATGCATTTCGTCAACTATTAGATACGAAACCTGAAACGGCGGCAAACGACACGTAATTTAATATAATGTTTAATTATGCTTTGTTGAAAATTCCGATGAGTTGAGATATTTTTAATTTTTTTTATATACTTGGACATTACGATCAATGATCCAATTGACTTCAAAATCATCATCGTCCTCTCCGAATGGATTTATCAACGATTCGGCCACCTTCAGCCACCCCATGTAAAAGAAAAACTGTAAAGTAGTAAATACCGGAAAATACAGATCGATATAGTTATAATTTGCCGAGTTCGTTTCCGTTTGGTGTTTAAGATTTGCCAATGGCATTACTGGTTTATCCAGCCATTGTCGTCCCATTACAGTTGTAATGAAAAATGAATACACGGCCAATGTTACTACCTAGGAAATATAAGCATGTATAAATAAAATATAAATTAATAGTAGGTCTATCAAATCTATCTAATCAGGTATTATTTATTGGTGATTAAATGTTTAATAAAAATAATACAAATATATAGTGTGTGGGGGAGGGGTTATAGATTCCACCGTTTTTAGTAAGGCAATTTAATATAAGTGAATCATCAATAATATACTATTAATATAATCAAAAATTGATTTTACATAATATATTTATTTAATTTCATAAATTTTGTTTTTTCCGATTTTATATAACATGTCCTCTGGGCTGTGATATGAATTAGTTTGTATTTTTAAATTCAATGTAAGTATGAAAACAAAAATTTATTAGGATGCGCTTTGGTAAATTTTGTGTTAATAGTTTTTAATGAAACGGTTCCCAACTGTAAGAACAGTTCCGATGATATTGAACACGATTCCCATAATTTTCTGATTACATTTAGATGTTTCATCAATGTAATTTTCACAGCATTTTTTAGCCTCATCATCGATTTTTAGTAAAAGTGTATACTAGGTAATATATGAGCGTGTGGAATTCTAAATAAGTTCGTCGGAGTCAATAGCCGGTGCAATCGATACTGGTAAAAAAAGGTAAAATTTCGGTGGAATCGATACCTGCAATATGCGATATAGGTAGGTACTTAAAAATTGCTCCGAAGTTCCAAAACTTTAATCTGGCCCTGGTATTTAGTACTATAACAGCCAATTGTGGTTCAAGGAACCTGCAGCAGAACATAATATTGTTTTGGGTATTTTCTAAATTTTAAATGTATAATGATAAAGTTCCAAACAAATAAGGCCATCTGAATTTCAAGTGTATTAATACGCAATTACAACAAAATTATTTTTAATTTAATTTAATTTAACTTATAATACAAATTACAATAGATATAAATTTTTATTTTCATAAATGTAGGTAGGTAATTAATAATTATTCATTTGCATTAATGATCATTTTTGTTAATTTTTTTTTTCTGTTGGTATTTTCATTGAGATAAAAATAACGTGTTTTTGTCGGTTAATAAAACAATTTCATTCAAATAATTTAATAATATTATAAAAATAAATAATAATAGTTTAATAATTCTTATTATTGAATAGATGTTCTTAAATATATAGACTATTATTAATACGATTATAGATTAAAAACGATTTTCGTTTAGTACAATTAACATCTAATGACCAATGGATTAATGAACAGGGGTACCAATTAAATACAATTTAATATATTATTATTAATCATTATGAGCCATTATTATATGTGAAAAAACGAACATTTCGCAGATTTTTATGCGACATTAAAATGGTTTAAATCCATAATTCAACGAATAATTATTCATTATAATATGCAATTTACCTGCGTATAAACGAGTGGCACGCTTATTGAATCGTAATTGAGTAACAAACCGCACTGACCGCGAAATTTGTTCAGCTCGTCAATAATGGTTTTTACCGCGAAATCGTCACGGATCCGTCCTTCTTTTCTCGCCCGGGTCACTATGCTCGCCGCCCACACGACTGGCAACCAGTGTTTAGAGTGTCTGGGAAATTTGTCGTTTAAATCCAATACGATCGTTTTTTCGTTTTCCAACAATAAACCTATATATTATGCAACAAACAGTAACGCGCTATATATAGACTTTGAATATTACAAAACATATGTACAAAATGCGGTAGGTACCTACATATATTATTATTATTATTATAATGTATCTGTCGTAGCCAAAAACTGTCCGGTATATAATTATACTATGGTAATAAGTCTAATGATGCTTACCCGCTTCAACGAAATGATCCAGCGTAGGAAAGCGCTTTTTTACTCTAGGGCTGATATTAGAGAACACCATGGTCAGACCCAAACAGACGTACCGCATGATCGTTCGTCTCATCAATCTTCCTCTTTCGTCCTATAATATGGTTTTACAACGAATATTAGTCTAAGTCTAGCATACCGGCAAGTAGATAGCTGTAACGTGATTTATACATAGCTATGGTTGTTGTCGATTATTGTTCATACCTGTCCGTGAATATGCGAACTCACGTAAACTGCTATAGGATCAGGCCACGGGATCGAACAGTATTGGTCCCACCACCTTTGCATTATTATGGATATATAAAATCCCAGCACAAAGGACAACGGTATCAAGTCGCTGTATGTTTCGCAATAATCGGATATGCTTTCGAATATTCTTGAATAAAATATAATTTACACGATTAAAACGCACATTCAAAAAATAAACTATAAAAAATGGTATTGCCAAGTTGCACGAAAAATTGATTAATTTAATGGTTCGCTTAAATTGAATGTACCAATAATGGGTCACTAAATCATGTTTATGGACCATTAACTCACTATTGATTCATTAAATGTTAAGTAATTGCTTATGCAACCCGGCATAGGTATTTGTATTATTTTAGTTTTAAAAATAAAAAATTAAAATCAAACCAACATAAGAGTTTGAAAAACTAACCCCCTGGACCCCCTGGACCTCCCCTCAGAAACGGTCTTGCAAACACTGGTTGACAAGCTAAATGAAAGGCTTGTTTCAAAAACGAGACAAGTCCACTTTATTTGAAGACGCACTTTATCAAATATATGAAATAAAGGAAAAAATTCCTTAAAAGTTAGTGCAACAATCAGATTAGTCCGTAAGTCAATTGGATATTTGGATATAACTGTATAATTAATATACTGTATGGTCTTTTTTTTATAGTAAATTGACATACATATCTGGTTTTTTTATTTTTATGCAAGAATTAGGCAAATCCGGACTTATCTGATTTTCACTGAAAGTAATGGTCGAATTTTAACATAATAATTAAATATAAGCAGTGTGATTACATCCTAGAACTTGGCTAATGTATAACATAGTTTTATTTAATTTAAAATAATAAAATAATAACTGTGGGGAAAAACCCTATATGATAAGATAAATAAAGTAGACATTTTAAAACATTAAAATATTATCATAACATTATTTTATATTGGTGTAATGTGTTATTTGAATACGAAATATACCTAGTATAATATAATATAATATAATACATTAATACAATAATACCTATAACTAACAATGTTTTGAAGATCAATTATTCTGCAAGTCACTAATTCACCACAATATTTTATTAAATAGATGTAGATATAATAAGAATAATTCTTTATCATAAAATTATTAGGTTTGTCATTTATTAAAAAAACAAAAACATTCCTAATATATGAAATAGTTGTCAAACTCATTAAATAGTAAATAAAGCAAGTAGAAATATACCTTATATATTTTGATCTATCTATAGGTACAAAAAGTGCTGACTGTTTTGTCTGTAAAGTTATCAGAAATATGTCTAAAATTTTGTTTTTAGTATTTATCTATTCGTTTTAGGCTTATAATTTAAATGTATGTATTAAATATAATATTGAAATAGTCCTAAAGAGTTTAAAATATTACATACGAAGAACACTTACCGTTTTTGCTGTTGATTCAATACAAAGCGATAAGTCAAATTCAGAGTGTAATAACAGACAAGGAATGCAGCCAAATCGGGCCACACTAACTTGTATATACTTCCTCGCCACCTAAAAACCAATAAGACCAATATTTTTTATTTAAAAAAAAAACAACAAAAGCATAAAATATATTAAAAAACCAGTGCTCGGACTTATCAATAACTTGCTTTAGTTTCTATACTGCAGTATTATTATTATTTTTTATTTCTTTTGTATTCATATCGTTACTGGTTTCGTATACAAACTAAAATCCCACATTTTGTACAAGATTTAATATAATATTATATGTTTTATTAAATTATCGTGCAATAAAGATATAGGTTTAATTAATATTAATATACAACACTTATATTGTATCAGTTCCGTGAACAATAATGTATTATTAACAACCAAGTTTAAACATCAACTTAATATATACCTACGATTAAACAATAATTACGATATATCCAGACGACCACACCTGTGTGTTTTAGAAACAGTTCACGGTTCACGTAGAATTATTTTGTGGTCGGTGGAATATAGTGAATCTGTAAGATAATTCGGTTTTTATATTTTAAACACAAAATTAATGATTAGCGTGATGTATTGCTAACCGACCGAAATTCGAAAAGGCCAACCTAAACTAAACACTTGTTGACTATCATTTCATCAGTTGTTGATTATTGTATAAAATACTTGCAGATTTAGGTATGTGAAAATATGTGCGTATATACGTTTCGTTTGTATCTCATCGACACACGCCGTTTGATTATAATAATATGTTCAATGTGAGATTGTTATTATTTGTATATTAGTTAAGGGGATTGGAAGCGGCGATTTTCTGTCTTTATCTAACACACGTGGAACATAGGATTATAGACGTGTTCTATGTCCAACGTACCGATTAATCTAATGAAGCGATAAGAATTCTGAAAACAGATTTGAATTTGTCGTCAAGTCTACTTGAGATCGACTTTCCCACATTTTTGATATTGTCCCACCAAAATCATAAAAATGATATATTATAAAAAGTACTTAAAAAATTTACAAATTTCAACTTTTGGAGAAGTTTAAATCAAAAAATCAAAAATGTGGGAAAGTCGATCTCAAGTAGACTTGACGACAAATTCAAATCTGTTTTCAGAATTCTTATCGCTTCATTAGATTAATCGGTACGTTGGACATAGAACACGTCTATAATCCTATGTTCCACGTGTGTTAGATAAAGACAGAAAATCGCCGCTTCCAATCCCCTTAATATTATGTATCACATGCATTACAATAGTGTAGGGAAGGGTACAAATAGTGGGTGACTTTAGGGGCTAAGCCCCCTAAACATTTCCTACATTTTGTTTTAAGCTTATTCAATATTATCAAAGTAAGGCTTTATCCCCCCTCCCCCAAATCCCAAACGCTATTTGCGCCTATAAGTGTAGCCGTGTAGGTATGCGTGCAATTTAATCGGAGGACTGCAGTTATATAATTTGGCAGAGCGTTTGAGCCGTTTTTTTTTTTTTTTTGGCGGCAATCGTTCTCAAACTGGATGCCGCCGTGTTTATAGAAAAGGTACAACAGTTTAAAATGTACTCGGTCGGGTAGCAACTAGCAAATATAATTATTCTGGTGAAATCGATAGACGAGAACGAAATATGTCATACCGTATTATAGTCGTGAACCTAGAGCCAATGAGGTTTGATTTATTTCGTCGACTCGTATTTACGCTCTATATCAGAGGCCGCCCGCCCCCAAGTCATATTTATTAATAATTGTATACTGTTAAAAACATAATTAGAAAAAAAAAATCATATTAAGATACCTAAAGTTTTCTGAAAATTATGACTTTCTCCCTCCCCGACCACTAACCAACCATGCATCCTGGAGCCGCCCCTGATGATACGTATAGTATAATGACAATATTATTATTATCGCCCTCAGAGATACCAAAAAGCTTTTATAGGTATTAATAAATCAGACGGGAGCTACAACATTTTTTTTTTTTTTGGTTCAACAAAAAATATTTGACTAGGATTTTTAATTTAGAAGAAAGGTATATAATATAACATCGTCTAGATGCAAATCGATAACATGGCGTGCATTAGTTAAAATATGGAATTAATCGGTTTGCGAGCGTGACTATTCAAATAGATTTAGTGGTACCTATATTAAATTGAAAAAAAAATTGAGAACCATTGTTGTGCAATGGCTGCTATGCCAAGTCGTTTGGCGACGACTGTTGTATGTCTATATTGATTTTATACAACATTTTTTTTACATGTTCATTGTTTATTGATAAACACAAAAATACTCTTTATAACTTAATTAATCAATGAGATAAAATTGGTTTATAAATTATTGTTTTCAGATTTATAGTATAATATTATCACTATAAATGTATTTACATTAATACAATTTTGCATTCTGTAGGTATATTAATTTTCATTATTTATATAATCTATTTTATATATTATTTAAATATTGTCTTGTCTTCTAAATTGTACATACAAATACTATAATATGTCCGTTTTCTTGTAAATGTACATGTAAACTTAAACTGTTAAACTTATTACATTGCATAACTCTATTTATCATTTAGTCAAAAGGTAACTCTCTATACTCCATCACTAGGCACAAGCTAAGACTTAAAGGAGTAGATTTATTTCATTTATTCATTTTATTTTATTACATATTATGTCATATGCGTGTACCTATATTAAATAAAAATGTTCTAAAAAAAATAACATCTAGGTTCATAAGTTGGCCGCGCAATATACAGGTCTATCCAAGGATTCTGACTTCTTAGAAATGTCTAGCATTCCAAGTTGTACTTATTTATGATTATATAATACGTACTATGTACCTATATCGTAGGTGTTATTCAATTATTTAATCTTGTAAATGTACAAGAAAAATGGCAGATTTTAAAATAAAATAAAAATATAGTTACATCTAACTTTTAGTGAATAATCAAGCTCTAACACAACAATTATTATAGCAGTGCCGCAACTTGGTACATATTGGCAGGTGTGCGAGTATATAGGGCCCATGTACAGAGACGCATCTATGGGGAGGGGGGGCTAAAGCAACCACCCGACTACGATTCAGACCCATCCAAAAAATATTCCTTATTTATTTAGATATAAGCCGCTCATAGGTTATTTTAAATAAATAGTATTTTTAGGTGGGCTATAGCCCCCCAGAATTATAACCCTAGTTGCAACTATGCTCATGTACCATAATTGTACCAATAGGTCATTAAATATATATTGCTTGTTGTTTTTAGTTATATACATTATATATTATGTAGTTAATATAATAAACACTGCTATACTGCTTACAGATAGGTGAAGAGCATCCAACACATTGTACATTGTAGTGATTGTACACATATAGGTTAGGACTGAGGAGTAAAGTGGTATGAGGCCTTTAAAACCATTTATTTTCTTTCTTGTCCCAATTTAAATAGTGTAACTATCAGCCGTCACAACATAGCAAAATTAAGAAATTCGAGAATATGATATTGGCATTTGGCGGTATATGTAAGGTAAGCACCCCTGCCATTCGAAATTATTATTTTTATTACTTTGTTATAATTATAGTTAGGACTTTTTTTTATATCATAATAAATATTAAATAATAATAATTATGATTCTAATGTATTCCTTAGTTTCTATTTTTTGATAAAATAATAAGATGGTAAGATACCACTTTGTGATACACCTAAAACGAAAAAAAAAGTTCCAAATAGTTCAGCCACTGGCCCCGGGGCCCATTGTTATGATTTAACGGGGGCCCGGGGGTTCTTTGCACCCCTAGCACCCCCGGTTGTTGCGGCACTGTATTATAGGTACCTACTACAATGTTATAAGTGAAAGTTTAAGTAGTGTATAGTATATCGATCTCTACTACTACTGCGACAGTGCTACTTAATACTTATTATTTTTTTTTTTTTAACAAACTTTTAAAAACAATGAATAAAATGTGAATAATATGAGCTATATAATGCTAATTTAAAAAAGTGTTTTTGATGTTTAAGACTGTTTAGTAGGACGTATCGTACCCGAATGTATAAACTCTGTCTTACACACGCGTTTCAATGAGAAAAAAATGACACAAAGAATATAAACTCGAGGTAACCGTTTTTATCTTCATATTTTCATTTTAAAATGAGTTATAAGTATACTTAGATAATTCAATGAAAATTTCATGTATATATAGTTATTCGTTTTTAAATTACAACAAAATAACAAAATCGCTACATGAGAAATCGAGTGAATATCCAATCTCATAAAAATATGAACTTCAAAAGCTCATAAAAATTTAACTTGATTGGCTTGTAGACATAATTGGTAGACAAACTTATGATAATTGAGGAATCTTGTATTATATTTTCAAATCTTAGATTTTAAAAGAAATATTTTTATGTATATTTATCTCAAAATAATTTGCTAAATTTTCGTGATTTTCCGTATTTTGTCAAGATTTAAAGTTTAAATGCTTATAAAAAAAAAACTGTGATTAAGGATTTATAATATTTTTGAAATGTCATTGTAAAAATATATAGCAGGAGCCTTGTGTTACATTTTCAAACTTTTTTACCTAACAAATAAAGTTTTATTGAAATTTATAGAAAAAAAAAAAAAAAAATTGGAAACTAAAAATTTCCATTAACAAATCAAAATATTTTTAAAATTTTATTGTGAAAAGAAAATGGGAGTATTCGAAAACCGGTTTTGCTTGAAAATTCCCGTTTTCTCTTAATTTCTATGTTGTTTTTCCCGGCACTTTTGAAAACTATTGAGAATTTTAAATTTTGACGTGCCGAATGCACCAAATAGATTCACTTTCCCATCGAACAAGGTACCTACTGTTGAAGACCACAACAAATAATAAAAAAACACAGTTCGTTGTAAAATCAATGCATTCATCACTCCTCTCAAAATCTAAAATACATATTTTTTACCTACTTAAAAATATCGGTTAAATGTAACGCTTTTAAGGAGCAGTCTTATACCTATGATTCACTCCAATTTAACTTTTAAGAGGATGCTTTACTTGCATGTGTTGTCGTCGTATTACAAGTTCGTAACTGC